ACCTAAACCCTTTCTGCTTAGTCGTATCTGTGAAAAACTTGTATACACAAGTGTCCATGTCTCACACAAATATTGATGTGATTACACTTAAGTGTTAAATCATTTACACTTAAATGACTTCATTGGGAATATTGAGCAGAGGGATTGTGCTTCTATGCACTGGGCAAGGCAGTATTTGCTTAGGAGACTAATTTAGTCATCAGAGATACTTTCCTAAAAAGGAAAAATAAAAAACAAAATGGTGCCACTTTGGGTTGGAGCTGCTTTGTTAGGCTTGAATTCATTTGTATGTCTTTTAATTCTTAAAAAAACAAAAAACATTCCATTAGAAGCACCAGTTTTTTTGCTCAAATTTTGTGGATCAGACTCTACACTCAACACACTCTAATAATCTACTTAAAGATACACAAAATATGCTGATCTTTTTTAAATTATGATTTTCTGAATTTTTTTTCTTAAGTCGTCTCAACTGATTTACTAACCTAGCTCATCTGCATAGTATAGTAGGATGTATGTTACATTTTTATGAATGGCAGGTATTCATTATAATCTGTATTGACTGTTAAAAAGTTTCTTCCTCGTGATGCTAATAGTTTTTTATATACATGGGAGGACAGCACATTTGACAGTTTTCGCATTTTTATGTATGAGCACAGTATTCTATGACTGTGCTACATATATATAGGTAATAAACTGGAATTCTGTTGATGAATATAGCTGCTGTACTGTATATTAATATTTAATCAACAAATGGTCATTGAAAACACTTGTTTAGCATCTGAATAAAATTATATATGTCCTTGGGAAATACTATGACAATTGACTTTAAGATCAAAAGGAAAGGAAGACCTGGAAGTCATTTGAATATTTTAGGAAAAGAATATTAGAGAGAAAAAGGTATTACATATATAGAAATAGGTTTTTAACCTAACAAGGTCTGCCTCTCATGACCAGAATGCAACAGCTTGGTAAATCATAAAAAACATTTAAGCTAATAGGATTTTTGTACTGTCTCTATAGCTGTAGCTTTAAAATTCAACATGTATAATTGGCATGGAAACTTAATTTGCAGTCTTTTCAAGCCTTTAGGATAGTGTGATGTGTGACAAACAACCTCAAATGTGAATGCCTTGATTTTATTTTTATGGTGACTTTAGCTACAGCATTTCCTATTCCCAGAGCTAAACACTGGAATAATACTGACATCATTTAACATTAAGCAATTGTGTTTAAAGAGTAATTTGTGTCATGTATATATTTGATTTTTTTTCCTCTTCTACGTAATTTTATTTGAACAAATGTAGACAGTTTATATGTTGCCTTTTTGTTCAAATTTGCATGGCCTATTAAGTTGGCTGGAGAGTGTTTTATGTGGAAATATTTTCAAGATAATGTTCCTTAGGAAGAAAATAACATTTTTCGGTTGAGGGAAGGAATGCCATACATACTGTCTCTTCAGCTCTGAAATACTCCAATTTAGAGCCAGGAAAAATCACAGGTCACACCGATTTTTGGCATTTAAAAGCTAAGGAATATACTTAGCACTTAATCTTTTCAGTTTTCCAGTTTACTTCTCAGGAATGAAGGGCAGTCTATGGTTGACAATGGAGTTTTGTGATCTGCTTATTGTAACTGACAACTGTTTTCAACTCTAAGAGCTAAACTATTGGCAGTTCATGTTAAGTTAGAGTGAGGTTGTAGGTAGTGTCAGTGAGTGGCTCTTGTGCCCACTGTAGACATTAGGCCTGCACTAGGGCCATGTGCTGTCAAGATTCAGGAACATGGCTTTAACAAGTAGATCTTGTACCAAGGCAGAGGCCATGCCATGCCGTACTTTTAGGAAGTCTGAGGTGATAAATATTTCAAGGTCAGTGAAGTCCTATCATTCTCCCCTTCCTCATCAGCAATGATAGAAATGTCCCAGACTTTTCTAAATCCCAGTGATAAGGATGTGCTGATATTCAACACAGTCCTTAAAGTGAAAAGTGAGTTGTTGCTGACCTCCACAAAAGAATACGGAAAAAAGCCTTGCTGTACACCTAGTTGTACAGCCACTCTGGCCAATTCTATTTCCTGTCCCTCTGTGGTTCTGACTGGAGACCCCATTGTTGGGGGGGGGAGGTCTTACCCATTTAATATAGAAATGATATGAATAACTAATGCAGTGTACTTGGAAAATCCAAATAAGGAAGTGTTAAGGTTGGTGCATATATTTCTCAAATTTTCATTGTCAGAACAAATGGATGGAGAATATTATTTAGACTAATCCAGATTTGCTTTCTATGAAAATCAAATGTCTGGATTATTTTCCTTTTCTCATGGCCTAAGAAATAAGTATTGATAAGGAATGATTTGAATGTAATTTTGTGAATGTGTGGAAAATATAAAGCAGGGATTTAGCCTTAATAAAGGTAACCTTCTGACATCTGTTGTTAATCCCCCTTTGTACTCTTATCCTGTATCTGCACTCTGTTATTTTGAGATGTCATACTGTACACTGTATTGTAAAAATAAAAGTAAAATTATATTTCAAATTTTAAAAGCCACTGAGCAATTTCTATTGGTATTTGCTCTGCCACTCAAGGTTTCCACACATGTAAAGACCACCCTTCAAGTTTTTGCCAAAATCAAGACCATTGGATCCTCCAGGCACAACACAAAATACCTTTTGATTTGTTCTTTACAGTGGGGTAGTGCCCCCTGTTGGCACAGATATAGGTAGGTCCTGTTTCCTTAATTATTAAAACCAACAACTAAGTGTATTAAAGATGGACAACGCAAGGCTGTTAACTTGGAAGTTTTCTGGAGAAGGAGTTATGTAATATTCAGGCAAATGGACCTTATGTGCAGCCTGGGATTTGAGGACACTGAGGCAGCATGTGAATTGTTGGCAAATATATAACATACTTTGTTTCTCTTCATTTCTCCTTTTTTTCTGCTATACATCTCCCAAAGGTCATAAATCATACACCAACAAAGTTTCTTACGTATATACACCTGCCACTGCAGTTCAGCTTTCCATTCCTATTCCTGATCTATATTCTTCCCGTTTCAGATAACTGATGCCACACAACAAATTATGTGTCCGTTGTTTTCTCGATTTCTTTTTAACAAATGCTAAACTAAAATCATCTGCACTTTTGTAGGCATTTTAACTAAGGCCAGTACATTCCAGGGCTTTAAGAAGCCACAGGAGAATTCTAGGGTCCTTTGGCTTGTTGCTTTAAGGTGAATATTGAATTTACCTAAATGTGGAAAACCACTATCTGGATCCCTACTTCAAACTAATTTTTGCCTCCTAGAAAGGCAGTACATAATGCTTAAAATGTAAAGATCAAATTAAATCAAATCATACTTGACTTGCATTCCAGCTGTGCTCTTTGACTTGTCAAAGCCTCAATTTCCTCATCTGCAAAATGGAGATGGTAGAATTTACAGTTCAGCAGGATGTTGGGAAGACGAAATGTTAAACAAACAGTTACCTATTTTTAAAGTACTTGTGAACTGAGTTGTTGGTTTTCCAGTCATTACTGAATTTACACTGAACCTAAGATTTTATTCTGTGAGCCCCAACCAGATTTCCTAAATATCAGCTTCTCCAGAACAGTCCCAATGTCTTTAAATACCCAAAGTTTGAAATATAGATGAAACAGAAAGGAAAAGTTAAGGTGTAAAAACTCTGAAAGTAGACTGCTTAGACTTAAATTCTGGATTTTCTACTTTCTAGCTTTTTAACTTAAGACTAATTACTCAAGTTTCCTGTGTCTCCAGTTTTTCCTCTGTAAAATAGGGGGTTAATATGTGCCTCTTATGGTTATTGTAATGAAGTAATATAAACAAAATACTTAATAACAGTGCCTGGCACATAACTAAGACCTGCTATTTTATAGATGTTAAATGCTTGCAAAATCATTTAATACTTTAAAACTGCCTAGTAGAAACTTTATGTAAAACATAAACCACTTAGGCACAGTGGTTTATGCCTGTAATCTCAGCACTTTGGGAGGCCGAGGTGGGCAGATCACTTGAGGTCAGGAGTTCGAGACCAGCCTGGCCAACATGGTGAAACCCCATCTCTACTAAAAATGCAAAAATTAGCTGGGCATGGTGGCGCACAACTATAATCCCAACTACTTGGGGAGTAAGGCAGAAGAATCTCTTGAACTGAGGAGGTGGACGTTGCAGTGAACCAGTGTCACTGCCACTGCACTCCAGCCTGGGCTACAGAATGAGACTCTGTTTCAAAAAAAAAAAAAAAGAAAGAAAAACTACCTAGACTGTGATGTCACTTGATTAAAATACAATATTAATAAAGATAGTGTCACAATTTCAGAACTAAACATGGCCAATCATGTCAAAAATGCCTGGAACTGGTTGCAAGAAAGACTGAGTAATCATGGATGGCTCATGCCAAATCAAACTACTAAAAACCTCAGACACCTGATGTGGCCAAATGGTTCATCTTCATAAAGGAAAACAAATTTTTATCACTTATAAATAGTAAAAAGTTACCTTATTTCTTACTCTAAAATGGGAACTAGTTATTTTTCTTAGATTAGCAAATAAGGAGGTATTATAATGCCCTCATAACTCACCAGCAATCATTTATTAGTACCCCAAACGCAACAGTTGTCTCAAAGTAAGCCTTTTTGTAAAACTCTAATACATGGAGGGGGAAAAATGGCCACTCACTTCCTACATGTCTGCAGAGAAAGCTCTGGCTGACACTACTGATCTGAGCATGAGAACATGACAACAGTAAATTAATAAAAATTGAATGACTTATTTTTAAATCATTTTACTCTGTTTATACCACAGTCACATTTAAATTGGCAGAACTGCTCCCATGACAGACAAGACAGGGACCTGTCATGCAAGGAAAAGTGCAGGTTTTCACAAAGTTTGAGAAGTACCATGGTAACACAAGAATGGCTGCAGCAATTTCAGACAACAGCGCCAAGGTTTGCAAGAGGGTAGGAATGAAAGCTGCTCCACAGTAATTGGCCTGAGACCACTAATGCTTCCTAAGAGGTATTTCCTAATATGCTTGGTAAGCACAGCACGTGTAACACAGATGTAAATGGAGTAGGATAACACTTCAGAGTAAATTCTTTAAGTTCCTGGGCAGGTTTTACAGATCTCTTTCATCCATGATAAATGGTTGCTAAATTATGATTCTGCAAAAGTAATCCCATAAACAGACATCCAGGTAAATGTTACAACCAGTGAAATTCTTAGGCCAAAAAATAAATAGCCAGACAAATCAAACCTACACACTATGAATTAAGATGAAGCCAGTGTTAGGGTTTCTAAAAGAACCAGAACAGGAAAGATTATTCAAACAGAAGATCCTCATCCTTCTCTTCAGCTAGAAGATTAGCAGGCTCCAGCACCTCTCCAGCTGCTCTCCTTTGTTCCAAATCCTTCTCAGATTTTTCCTTTAGAATCTTTTTCTTCTCCTGTATTTTCTTTAACCTGTAAAATACAGGTGGGGGTGCATTTTTTAAACACTTTCAATATTAAGTAGATTTGATTTCTTTTAGTTTTGTCACAAGGATAATAAACACCTATACCTAGAAAAAAAAAAACTTGGTACTTTTACTAATTTCATTTTCAGTAATTTATTTATAACCCTTTTTTAAAAATACTAATTTTAAGCTAATAACTGGTTTAACCTGAGATAGAAGCCTTTTTTTTTTTGAGACGGAATCTCACTCTGTCGCCCAGGGTGGAGTGTAGTGGCACAATCTTGGCTCACTGCAACCTCCCCCTCTGGATTCAAGCAATTCCTTGCCTCAGCCTCCCAAGTAGCTGGGATTACAGGTGCATGCCGCCACGCCTGGATAATTTTTTTTTAATTTTTAGTAGAGACGGGGGGGTTTCACCATCTTGGCAAGGCTGGTCTTGAACTCCTGACCTTGTGATCCACCCGCCTTGGCCTCCCAAAGTGCTGGGATTACATGCATGAGCCACTGAGCCTGGCCTAGAAGCCTTTAGTAGGTTAAATTTTGAAATCCATTCTCTAATGGAACAGATTTTGAGCATTCAGGCATTTTTTTAAATTTTGGCTCAACACAACCCTGAGTATCATGGAAGGACAGAAACTAACCTTTGATAATTAAGATTATAGACCATAATTAGATGGTAACTCCAGATCTAAGACCTCCCATGTCTTTCCTAAATACTCTTGCCTTCACCTACCTCCCATTTCTCTGAACTGAGTATACAGACCCCTGTATACCACCAGTTTAGTATTTATCGCTGTTGACTCTAAATGTTCATAATCAATTCATGGACATGCATAATTTCTCCCCAAGTGCTGTGCTAATTCTCTAATGGCGTGATTTATATACTATTTGGTAATGCCTCCAGGTGCTTTATACCTTCTCCTTAACATATTCAACATGAAATACATATTTGTTGAATAACAGCTGAATTCTAGTTTCTTCTCTCAGTTTTTATGTAGGAGACACCCAATCTAAATCATCATTTCATTTTAAAGAATAATCAGGGGCCAGGCGCGGTGGCTCAAGCCTGTAATCCCAGCACTTTGGGAGGCCGAAACGGGTGGATCACGAGGTCAGGAGATCGAGACCATCCTGGCTAACACGGTGAAACCCCGTCTCTACTAAAAAATACAAAAAACTAGCCAGGCGAGGTGGCAGGCACCTGTAGTCCCAGCTACTCGGGAGGCTGAGGCAGGAGAATGGCGTGAACCCGGGAGGCAGAGCTTGCAGTAAGCTGAGATCCAGCCACTGCACTCCAGCCTGGGCCACTCCATCTCAAAAAAAAAAAAAAAAGAATAATCAAGAGCCAGGCATAGTGGCTCATGCCTGTAATCCTAGCACTTTGGGAGGCCAAGGTGGGTGGACTACTTGAGGCCAGGAGTTTTGAGACCAGCCTGGCCAACATGGTGAAACCCCATCTCTACTAAAAGTACAAAAAAATTATCCAGGCATGGTGGCACATGAGCCAAGATCACCATTGCACTCCAGCCTGGGTGACAGAGCCAGACTCTGTCTCACACATACAAAAAAAAATAATTAGAAAAAGAATAATTGAGTCTTGGCTGGTCTGAAGGTAGTGAGTTATCTCTATTATTCACAATCAGTTACAGATCAAACTCCTTGTTCTACTCTTTCCCCACTTTTCACTACTGCATTTGACTATCTTAAAACGTATATATTTTTAAAAATTAAGTCTAAATAGTTTCTCTGAAAGGCCTAAGTTTTTGGAAATGCCATGTTATAGGAACATGTAAAATTTGACAGATTTGCTTCCACAACTTTTGGTAATATTTCATGCTTCTTATTTATCAAAATAAAACACAAGCTGTGCTAATTCTAAAGAACATAAACCAACAAGTCATTCAGCAAATAGAGCCTTTGGAATATGGAAAACAAAAAATGATCAATAACTGCCAATTTCAACAAACCTATAGAACTCTTCTCGCTCTCTCTCATCCAGCTCTGTGATGATATAAGCAAGAGTACGTTCAATCCGGGGAATGATGACTAGAGTTAAAAAAAATAATAATATGTGTGAGAACTTCAAACCCCTTTTTTCAAATTATCAGTGCTCATTTGTATAACCAGTTATTTTTTCCTAATTGTAAAATTAATATGCATTTAATGCAGAGAACTTGGAAAATAAAAACACAAAGAAAAAAACACAAAATGGAGTATAATCCGAATATCCAAAAGAGTAACTACTGTAAACGTGTTGGTGTATACCCTTCTAGTATCTTTTCTATGCACAGATAACCTATGGGACCATAACAAATATAACACTGAATGTGCTGAATTCTATGAATATGTAACATTGAAGCACAGATGTTATTTTAAATATAGTAGCAATCAACTGTTAAAAAACTGAGGAGAGAGAATGCTCGATTTTGAGTTTATGTCATTAGGTTTGACTTTGCATAGAGTTTACCTATTCTGCTTCTAGAATGTGAACTCTGAGGGTGAGAAGTATAAATTATCCTTTTTTTTTTTTTTTTTTTTGCTTCCACTTTCATGTACGAAGTCTGGCACTAGCAAGCAGTCAAAAAAGTTTTTTTAAAAATGAGATAACTTTCTCACTAACATTAATACAGCCCCAAGCAAAGGAATTTCTTTACTTCAAATTTTGCTTTCTTACTTAAAATTGAGTGTTTCTTTAATAAAAACTAAGTTTATTGAGCAAAAAGCACTGTCAACACTAAGCAGTCATATTTTTTAAACACTGAAATAAAAGAGATGGAAAATAAGTGCATCAAATAGGAAAATTTTTTAGAAATCAAGGAGAATGGTTTATAGTGATTTAAAGTTAAATATTTAATGTACTCAAAAAGTTACATCGCTCAACCATTAGAACTAAAGAAAACACTAAGGATCTTGAGAAATACTCCTACCCTTAAATAACGGCATGAATAACTGGAAATGAAGAAAACATTCCATAATTTTTAAGTCACCACTTTCCTATGTGTGTAACTCCCGCAGATCATACAGGTACATCTATCAGAACACTTCATAACACTTTTTTGTACTATGGACACACTTCTCTCTTTGCACTGCGGGCAGGGGCAGCATCTTACTCACCTTTCAGTCTTCAGTACAGTGCCTGAATTCTAGCAGTTTCACGACAAGTGGGGGGTATGGACAAGTGACAAAGCACCTCAGAGTACCTATACTCACCATGTTCAATGGCATTTACACGCCTGTTGGTTATCTTAATAGCTTCATCCAAAGTAACAAAAGAAGTCTAAAGTAAGAACAAATTAATAATGTAAGCACAAAGTCTTCTCAATCATTCCCTGATCACTTGACTCCACTAAGTTTGCACTTATAGAAAACACTTGAGAACCAAGACAACTTCTTTTCAGCATGCTTAAAAAACAAAATTCTTAGGCTGGGCGCTTGGCTCACACCTATGACCCCAACACTTCGGGAGGCTGAGGTGGGAGAATCACATGAAGCTGGGAGTTCAAGACCAGCCTGGGCAACGCAATGAGACCTTGCCTCTACAAGAAATAAATTTTAAAAATTAGCTGGGTGTAGTAGCATGCACCTGTAGTCCCAGCTACTTGGTAGTCTGCAGTGGGAGGATCGTTTGAGGCTGCAGTGAGCTATGACTGCCACTGTACTCCAGCTTGGGTGACAGAGTAAGACCCTGTCTCTTCACAACAAAACAAAAACAAAATTCTTGTGAGATTTCCAAAGGGCTAATGCTATTTCCATGCTATTGATAACCTACATGTCACATTTGGTAGGTTTTCAAATTAACCTGCCTGGGCAGGTTGAAAGATCTCATGATTCATGGTTTATATCCTGTCCCTGAGTAAGGAAATCTTGTTTCTCAGACTGTTGACATACTGATTAATATGCAACCTACTGACACTGAAAATGACACTGATTTGTTTCTGAATCATGAAGTTTTACTTCATGATTTACTTGCATGTAGAACATTTTAGCTTGTATTTGCAATCTGTAGCCAATGATTGTGACCTCTGTATTGTACTCTCCAATGAAAAGGACAACTCGGGTATGAGTCGTCCTCCCTTCTCCTAAACTTTCCCATAAAAGCCTTCCAACTTGTAGCAGACTCTAGAACACACGCAACTTTGTTGGTGTCTTTCCGGGTCAGTCCTCACATTTGGCTTTTAATAAACCTTTATCAAATCATTTCTGCTTCAACAGGCTTTACTTGAGTTGACACTATTATAATTTGTTTACTACCATCTCACCTAAATAACAACATAAAAATGACAAGAAAGAATCAAGCACTAATAACCTAGATATATACTAACTGGCCACATAGGGGAAAAAATGGCCTTCCATGCACAAAATGTTTATTTACATTTACATTTAAATCTAGTATTAACTTGCTGTTCTCACTTAGCAAAGAGTGAAACTGGGCTGGGTGAGGTGGCTCACACTTGTAATTCCAGCACTTTGGGAGGCTGAGATGGCAGGATTTCTTGAGGCCAGGAGTTTGAGACCAGCCTGGGCAACATAGCAAGACCACATTTCAACTAAAAAATTCAAAAAAATTATCCAGATGAGGTGGCACAAACTTATAGTCCCAGCTACTTGGGAGGCTGAGGCGGGAGGACTGCTTGAGCCCAGGAGATCCAGGCTGCAGTTAGCCAAGATCGTAACACTGCACTCCAGCTTGGGCAACAGAGCAAGACTTTGTCTCAAAGAAAAAAAACAAAAACAAAAAAAATAAGAGTGTACCATAGCACATACATTTTGTTAATAATAACAAGTAGGGGCCAGGTATGGTGGCTCATACCTATAATCCCAGGACTTTGGGAGGACGAGGCGGGCTGATTACTTGAGCCCAGGAGTTTGAGACCAGCCTGGATGACATGGTGAAACCCCATCTCTACAAAAAATACAAAAATTAGCTGGGTGTGATGCAGCATGCCTATAGTCCCAGCTACTCAGGAAGCTGAGGTGGGCAGATCACTTAAGCCCAGGAGGTTGAGGTTACCGTGAGCTGAGATTATGCCACTGCACTCCAGCCTGGGTGACAGAGTGAGACCCCCATCTCGAAAAATAAATAATTTTTTAAATTAAAAAAAGTAGGGGCCAGGCACAGTGGCTCATGCCTGTAATCCCAGCACTTTGGGAGGCCGGGGCGGGTGGATCGCCTGAGGTCAGGAGTTCGAGACCACCCTGACCAACATGGCGAAACCCCGCCTCTACTAAAAATACAAAAGTTAGCCAGGCATGGTGGCCCATGCCTGTAATCCCAGCTATTTGGAAGGCTGAGGCAGGAGAATCGCTTGAACCCAGGAGGCAGAGGTTTGCAGTGAGCCGAGGTCGCGCCATTGCACTCCAGTCTGGGCAACAAGATTAAAACTCCATCTCGAAAAAATAATAAATAAATTTTTAAAAGTAGGGACAATGGTACAAAAGCCATCACTTCAGAAATCAAAATATTATGTTTGTTTTACATAGGATCATGGGAACAGTTGAAAGTACAAAGTACCGTATATGCTGACTCAAGACCAGACTCTCCTCCACTTGACTGTTAGAAATCAAACTACAACAGTTCTCTAGGTCTTTTGCTACTTACCTGCAGCGAAGCTAGTTCCACCAGTAGTTCCACTGCTTTGGCATAATTCCTCTTTAATTTAGCCAACTGTTCCCCACCTCTGGCTAAACCAGTCAGTTCATAACCTGAAAGAACCAGTCAGACAACATTTGTAATTAGAGAGTAAATAATCTTCCCTATAAATTTTCCCAAAAGGAGATAATTCAGAATAATAACAAATATGGAAAGACAAATTCACTAATCTTCATTGAATGTAAACATGAAGTACCTATCTCACTTCCCAAACACTATAGGAGCATGCTACTAAATACAGTTTTCCACAAGAATACTATTCTAAATATAACTAGAAGCTCTTAACCAACCTTCACTTCACTAGCTTGATGCCCATTATTCCCTTTGAAAATCATATTGCCTGATGCCCAGAGTACAATGACACTCTGTGAACAGGTGACTCTCTAGAATGCTCTACTTCTTCGTATGAAATGTACTTAATATTCTATATGATTTAATTAAATATTACATGAAACAAGGAAATATGAGTGCCAAAAGAAAGAATATTGTTTGTTTGTTTATGTATTTATTGAGATGGGGTCTCACTCTGCCACCCAGGCTGGAGTGCAGTGGCACAATCTCAGCTCACTGTAAGCTCCACTTCTCAGGCTCAAGCAATCCCTCCACCTCAGCCTCCCGAGTAGCTGGGACCACAGGCGCATGCCACCAGGTCCAGCTAATTTTTGTAACTTTTTGGATAGAGATGGAGTTTCACCATGTTGCCCAGGCTGGTCTCAAACTCCTGGGCTAAGGCAATCTGCCTGCCTCAGCCTCCCAAAGTGCTGGGATTACAGGTGTGAGCCACTGCGCCTAGCCAAGAATATTGTTTCTATCAAAAAAGTTAATACTTTACTTTAGAAAGAAAATATGCTGTCAAATTAGGAATGGAATGAATAAGACAGTTATTTAAAAAGTGGGAGTGGGCTATAAAAATCTAGAAAGAATCCGCATTCAGGTTGCATCCTAGTGTCTAAGATCTTATTTGACTTTAAAGAGACCCAAAATGGGAATTATAAGCAGTGCATTGTGGGTGTAGGATACGCAGAAAGACAACACAGAAGTCTAATCAGTGAATTCATACTCAAAAGGCCTTATATTTTTTAAATAGCAAATGATTCTACATTGATATATTTCTGATAAAATACTGAAATATTTTAAGGTATGTACAGTGTTTTATGACTTCCTAGCATAAGACCTTTTTTTTTTTTTTGAGACAAGGTTTTGCTCTGTTGCCCAGGCTGGAGTGCAGTCGCATGATCAGAACTCACTGCAACTACCTCCCCAGTTCAAGCACTCCTCCCTCCTCAGCCCCCAAAGTAGCTGAAACTACAGACACATGCTACCACACCCGGCTGATTTTTTGTATTTTTTGTAGAGACGGGTATTTGCCTGCCTTAGCCTCCCAAAGTGCCAGGATTACAGGCATGAGCCATTGTGCCTGGCCTTAAGACCTTTTGATTAATTGATCAACTATTCTCCTCACTATATCAGTAAAAGGATTTCTAACTCAGGAACCTCTCAACATCTAGCACCATTTTCCAGAACTTAGTTCATTTAAAGAGGAAACAGGAAATCTCAGAGACACAAAGTAATATAAAAAGTTTCACACTTACTGTCAGTTCCTTCATGGTAATGTTCAAATACTGGCAAAGTAACACCTGTTAAACATAGAAGCATATATGGATTCACAAACCTTTAAGTTCTTTTTGTTGTTGTTGTTTTTGCCAAGGCTAGAGTGCAATGGCATGAGCTCACCTCACCACAACCTCTGCCTCCCAGGTTCAAGCAATTCTGCCTCAGCCTCCTGAGTAGGTGGGATTACAGGCATGTACCACCACACCCGGCTAATTTTGTATTTTTAGTAGAGACGAGGTTTCTCCGTCTGTTGGTAAGATGGGTCTCGAACTCCCGACCTCAGGTGATCAACCTCCCAAAATGCTGGGATTACAGGCATGAGCCACCGCGCCTGGCCTAAGTTCTGTTTCTTAATCACTGTTTTCTGTGTTTCTTTTTCAGCGAACTCAAAAGTCAAGAGCTTAAGTCTGGAATTGTAATTCGTTTCAATTAATGAATTTAGGAACTTGCCTTCTTTTTTTTTTCTTTTTGAGACAGAGTCTCACTCTGTCGCCCAGGCTGCAGTGCGGTGGTGTGGTCTTCAGCTCACTGCAACCATCGCCTCCTGGGGTCAAGTGATTCTCCCACCTCAGCCTCCTAAGTAGTTGGGACAACAGGCACATACCACGCCCAGCTAATTTTCTTTTTTTTTTTTTAAGAGGAGTTTCGCTCGTTACCTGGGCTGGAGTGCAATGGCGCAATCTCAGCTCACCACAACCTCTGCCTCCTGGGTCCAAGTGATTCGCCTGCCCCAGCCTCTCGAGTAGCTGGCATTACAGGCATGTGCTACCATATCCGGCTAATTTTGTATTTTTAGTAGAGATGGAATTTCTCCATATTAGTCAGGCTGGTCTTGAACTCCTGACCTCAGGTGATCCGCCCACCTCGGCTTCCCAAAGTGCTGGGATTACAGGTGTGAGCCACCATGCCCAGCCTAATTTTTGTATTTTTTGGTATAGATGGGGTTTCACCATGTTAGCCAGGCTGGTCTTGAACTCCTGACCTCAAGTAATCCACCTATCTCAGCTTCCCAAAGTGCTGGGATTACAGGTGTGAGTCACTATGCCTGACCTAATTTTTGTATTTTTTGGTAAAGATGGGGTTTCACCTTGGCCAGGCTGGTCTCAAACTCCTGACCTCAGGTGATCCACCCATCTCAGCCTCCCAAAGTGCTGGGATTACAGGTGTGAGCCACCACATCCAGCGGAACCTGCCTTATTTTTCATTTTTTATTTTTAGATGAAGTCTCACTCTGTCGCCCAGGATGGAGTGCAGTGGTGCAATCTCAGCTCACTGCAACCTCTGCTTCCTGGGTTCAAGCGATTCTCCTGCCTCAGCCTCCCAAGTAGCTGGGACTACAGGTGCATGCCACCACGCCCGGCTAATTTTTGTATTAGTAGAGATGGGGTTTCACCATGTTGGCCAGGCTGGTCTCAAACTCCTTGACCTTATGATCCGCCCGCCTCGGCCTCCCAAAGTGCTGGGATTACAGACATGAGCCACCGTGCCTGGCTGGACCCTGCCTTCTTAAGTGTTCACTTCTATACAAAAGTCAAATTATTTTCAGTAATTAGAAACCTGGTTGTTAATGATTTTAACATGTATAGCCAATCAACTTGTTCTAAGTAGAAGGAAGAAACTAGGACATTAAGATCTTGCTGTATAAACAGGTTAATTTTAAAATGTCACCTCTTTTCTCCCCAAAGAGTTTCTAAAAGGTTGAAATGTTACCTGCTACATTATCTTTCTTCGCTCGAATCTTCACTTGGGCTTTATTTACATTTTGGATAACTGTAGTGCTGCAGAAAAAGAGAAAGCCTTTATTTAGCAGACTGTTTAGAAATAAACCTCTAGGGACTCATTGGATAGTTTTACGTTAAATGAGACCAAGAGTGAGATGTCACAATTAAGTATGTTTTGATAACTGTCCTCTTTCCAAAAAGGGAGAAACATCATTACTGCCAGAGGAGGGCCTCTGAAAGCAGAGAATGAACAATATTCAAAACATTAGCAGTAAGAAAACAACAAAGAATGATTTTAAAGTTCGTGGATTGCTTATGTTTTCAGTCAGAGGTGTGCCACATGGATGTAACCGTAAGAGTTCTTCTACTAGTGTAAGATGGAGAAAACTTCTTCCTAGGTTTCCCGTTGAATTGATTAAGCTGGCGTTCAGTTCCTTTACCCTGGAAACATCTTGCATCTGGCTTTGTGTGACTTCTCAAATGTTACCAGAAAGTGCCTTCCTGGCAGGGTGCGATAGCTCACGCCTGTAATCCCGGCACTTTGGGAGGCCGAGGCAGGAGGATTGTTTGAGGGGTTCAAAACCAGCCTGGGCAATGTGGCGAAACCCAAAAATACAAAAATTAGCCAGTCTCATAACCCAGTCTCAAAACAAAACAAAAATAAATATTATAGAAAGTGTCTTTCCCATAACCACCCTAAAACACTCACATACCACTTATACACTATTGATCTCCACCCTCTGCTAGAAAATTCAATGCAAGCTGTGATCTTGCCAGCACTGGCAAAAATTAAAGCCTACCACTTCAAAGGGCCTTTTTAAGGCCCAAGAGCAGTGAAAGCTCCTAGATAATAGGCATCATGTCATTAGGAAAAGACTAAAATCAGAAACTTCTTGAAAACAACTTCTGCCTCGGCCCCTAATTAGCCAAGTGACCTCAGGAAGGCATTTAATTAAAACTGAGAATAACAGTGCTTGCCTTACCTATCTCACAGTGTTATTTGGAAAATTACATAACATATATAAATTGGCATAACACATTTGCAAGCCATTTTGTATGCTTTGTAAAGGATTTACTGATGTCACCAAAGCCATGAAGTTCATGCCTTTTAAATAATCCAATTCTCAAAAATTTATCCTAATAATTCAATAGAAACAAAAATACATATGTGTAAAGATGTTCACTACACTTTCCCTAATATTCCAAAACCATGAGAATTAACCCAAATATCCAGCATTAGGAGAAAAAAAAAAATACATCTTGAGAAAGATCATACAGCCATGTTGAAAATAAGGAAAAATGTTTATGATACAACGTTAAATGAAAATGGACGCTAAAATATTAAATATCCTGCGCCTGCAACTATGTAAGAATGCATGTGGAGGATGACAGTGCAGTTAAGGTGATGGGGTTAAAAGAATTCTTCCTTATTATTACTATATCATTTGTCCTTGATGGTTATTTCTAAATTAAAAAATGTTTTTTAAATGAAATGATGAGCCTGACATCACTTTGTTTTGTTTCAAAACACCCCGTTTAGTCTCCTTACCTGAAGTCACCTGCTGTGAACTTGGCTTCGGCTAGTGAAAAGGCAGCTTCTCTCATCACTTCGCCCATCAACATTTTAGTCTGGAAAAGCATAAATCAAGAGCAGATTCAATCAAGCCTTTTACAAGGAAAAATCCCATCATAATTATGTTCCTTTAATAACCATCAGTATTTTATGCTGGCTGTGCATGTAAATATTTGTTTGATAATGATAAAACAAATAAAAATTTCCAATTTTTAACAGTTTTGGTTACGATCACTAACAATATTACAAAACTATGAGTTTTATAAAATTAAAACAGAATAAATGCACTGAAAAACAGAAAACTGAATCTTTACTGAAGGACCTAATTTATTACTGAATGGGTACAAGCTGATCTACTCAAACTAATCTCTTAAATTCACTGCAGTTGCAGTCAAAATCCTAATGCTGTATTAATTTTAAAGTACATCTGGAATATCTAATGTTTCAGAATATTCAATAATGTTTCAGAAATAGAAGAAAAAATGGGTCAGCTGGGTAGGGAGTTGGCTTCCCAGGTATTAAAAAGGTACAGCTACAATAAGGAAATATTAATACATCTGGTATGGGACAGTTAAGTCAATGAAATAGACTAGAGGGTTCAGAAACAACCCCAGGTCAATATGGAAATTTAGTAAAGAAACCACTCAACTGTCTACACACTTACAAAATGATAAAGCTACCTACCTCACATCATACTGCCCCCAAAATTCAGACATAATTAAGATAAAGATTTAAAGAAAAAAACTGTAGAGTAACCAAAGAAAATGTGGTATAACATTTTTCCTAATCATTTTAGGTCTTTTCTAAGCCTTATGTGTAACTCAGAAGCTATATAAAGAAAAAGACTAACAGATTTGACCAAAGGAAAAAAAAATTTAACTTTTTTTTATTTTTCTTTTTATTTTTTGAGACAAGGTCTCACTTTGTTGCCTGGGCTAGAGTACAGTGGTGTAATCATAGCTCACTGCAGCTTCAAACTCCTAGGCTCAGGCAATCCTCCTGCCTCAGGCTCCCAAGTAGCTGGGACTACAGGTGCATGCCACCATACTCCGCTAATTTTCTTCTTCTTCTTATTATTATTATTTTTGTAGAGATAAGGTCTCACTATGTTGCCTAGGCTGGTCTCAAATTCCTGGGCTCAAACCATCCTCCCACCTCGGCCTCCCAAAGTGTTGGGATTACAGGCATGAGTCACCACACCTAGTATTAACTTTTTTTTTTTTTTAAGTTAAAAGATAAGAAAAGGCATGGAGAAAATACTTTTAACATTTTACACATTAGGCAGAATAGACATAGAACCTCTACCAAAGAAAAAAAAAAAAAGACATTTACCAAGAAAATCAAATTGCCAGTAAGCATGAAAAGTTCCTCAACTTCACAAATAATCAAAAGTAGTACAGGGCCAGGCACAGTGGCTAACGCCTATAATCCCAGTGCTTTGGAAGACTGAGGTGGAAGGATCACTTGAGCCCAGGTGTTTGAGATCACCCTGGGCAATAAAGCAAGACCCCATCTCCACAAAAACTAAAAAAATAAAAATAAAAACAGCACTCATAGAAAATACTTTTGTTAAGTACATACAGGTTTAAAAATAAAACACAAAAACTGTAAACTCAGCACTTTGGGAGGCCAAGACGGAAAGACTGTTGGAGCCCAGGAGTCAAAAAGACCAGCCTTGGCAACATAGTGAGACCTTGTCTCTACTAAAAATAAAAAAAAAAAAAAAATGAGCTGAGAATGGTAGCATACACCTGTAGTTCCAGCTACTTGAGAGGCTGAGGTGGGAAGATCACTGGAGCCCAGTTTGAGGCTGTAGAGTAAGACCCAGTCTCAAAAAAAAAAAAAAAAAAAAAAGAAAAGAAAAGAAAGAAAATGTCATGCCATGCAGTAGTACATGCTACAATAAATTAAAATAAGGAATTGTGAGAGAAGCAAACATGGTATTCACTTTAGATTGGGTGAACAGGAATAGCTTCTCTTAAGAGACTAGAACAGCCAAAGGATCCAGTTATAAGTTCTGGGGAAACAGTATTTCAGGCAGGAAAAAGAGCTAATGAAAAGTACCTGGAAGACCTTAGGAAGAACGCTCTAAATGAGGTAAGAGAGGCAGGCAGGGGGCCAATCAGATCAAGTGGAGCTTTACATGCAACACTGAAGAGTTTGGATTTTATTAAATGAACTATTTGATATTTGACACTTGTTAAACTTATAATGATATTTTTACTTTTGAAAGAAAAAATTTAATTAAAATAACCAAAAAAAAAGTGCTAAGGGCCATGCTGGATTTTCCCAAAATGAATACTATTCTAAGTTCATTCTACCTCTATTATCTTCTTTAGGATCTGTCGAAATCGAAGAGTTAAGGCATCAGATTTTTTCTTCAGGAGGTTTCGACCTGTCTGTGCTCCCTTTAAACGAGCCTTCATGATAGTCTGTGCCCTATATAAACATAAACAAAGTTAAAGACATCTATTTTCATTGTTTAAAAGACAAAAAACCTCCCCACCAGTGTTAAAATTATCCTTTATCCTTTGATGTGATGAGAGGGAGAATATATAGAGAATTTGTAGCTGACAGGTTTAACTGATGCTATGGCTTGAATATGTCCCCAATCTTCATGTGTTGGAAACAATCTCCAATGCAACAATGTTGAGAGGTGGGACTGTTAAGAGATGACTGGGTCACATGGGATCTGACCTCCATGAGTGGATTAATGTCATTATGGTAAGACTGGATTCCATATTGCAGGAGTGGGTTGGTTATAAATGTGAGTGCAGCTGGGCACACCTGTAATCCCAGCTAGAGGTGTAAGTGGGAGGATCCCTTGAGCCCAGGAGTCCAAGTCCAGCATGGGTAAAGATAGTAGCAAGACTCCATTTTTGTTTTTTGTTTTTTTTTTTTTTTGAGACTGAGTCTCACTGTGAAGCCCAGGCTGGACACAATGGCGCGATCTTGACTCACTGCAACCTCCACCTCCCAGGTTCAAGCGATTCTCCTGCCCCAGCCTCCCAAGTAGCTGGAACTACAGGCGTGTGCCACCAAGACCAGCTAATTTTTTTGTATTTTTAGTAGAGACAGGGTTTCACCATATTGATCAGGCTGATCTCGAATTCCTGACTTTAAGTGATCTTCCCACCTCAGCCTCCCAAAGTACTGGGATTACAGGCATGAGCCACCACGCCTGGTCCGACTCCTTATTTTTTGAGACAGGGTCTTGCTCTGTCACCCAGGCTGGATTGCAGTGGTGTGATCATAGCTCGCTGCAGCCTCTAACTCCTGGTCTCATGCAATCCTCCAGCCTCAGCTTCCCAAAGTGCTGAGATTATGGGCATGAACCACTGCACCTGACCCTGTCCCTTTGGAAGGAAATAAAAAGGCATGTGTGACCCTTTCTTGATCTCTCACCCTCTTGCCTTCTGCCATGGGATGACACAGCAAGAAGGCCCTCACCCTTCTCAGCCTCCAGAACCATGAACCAAATAAATTTTTTTTTCTTTATAAATTACCCAGTCTCAAGTATTGTTATAGCAGCAGAAAATGGACTAAGACAACTGGTTTTTCAATAATGTAGATTTCTACCATCAGTGTTCCATAAATGAAAAGTTTATTAATTTACAATAGAAACAATTTTAGAATCAATATCTGGAATATTTATTAAATCATAATAAACATTATCAGGAGCCTTATTTTATGATGCCAACATATTTTAAATACTTATCTGATTTGTAAGTTAAAATAATATCTACATTTTAGTTTCCATTGGAGGTATATTAAGGATTTAAAAATCTATCCACTAATATATATCAAAATTTTAAACGCAATTATTTTCAAGACCAACAATTCCACTTTGAGGAATTTATCCTACAAATTTATCCCCACATGTGTACAAAAACATGTGCAAGGTTTAAAAGATGGGTACTCCAGCATTATGGTAATAGCAAAAGGGAGAAACAAGCTAAATGCTAAATACATCATAGTTCACCTACCATGGAATGATATACAGTCATTAAAAAAGACGAAGGTATATAGGCATGTGCTGTCTATATTACAGTCTTATGCAAAGTAAGGAAAAAATGTGCTTATATAGATGCAGAGAATAGTTCTAGAAAGGATTCAGAAAAACTGGCAAGAGTTACCTTTGATAAATGGGACTGGATGAAAAATATGGATTTACTTTTTACTACTATATTCTTTTGTACATTTTGCATTTTATTTTATTTTTATTTTATTATTATTATTTTTTTTTTCAGGCGGAGTTTCGCTCTTGTTGCCCAGGCTGGAGGGTGCAATGGCGGGATCTCGGCTCACAAAACCTCCGCCTCCTGGGTTCAAGCGATTCTCCTGCCTCAGCATCCCGAGTAGCTGGGATTACAGGCATGTGCCACCATGCCCGGCTAATTTTGTGTTTTTAGTAGAGACGGGGTTTCTCCAAGTTGGTCAGGCTGGTATCGAACTCCTGACCTCAGGTGATCCGCCCACCTTGGCCTCCCAAAGTGCTGGGATTACAGGTATGAGCCACTGCACCTGGCCTGCATTTTTTATACCACAATAATTTACCACATTTTCTATTAAAAGTGTGGTATTAACATGTTTTGATATCATCAAGATCCTAACACCAATCATTTTATTAATTTGTAAAAGACTCTAGGTAATAAATGACATATATAAGATTCCTGAGAAGTGACAAGCTAAATTTACACTGAAGTCTCCTCACTTCCTTGTTTCAATTTTTTTCCCCATCAGAAGCCCCAATACCAAAGTCAAGCAGAAACTGACATTTCTGTTCTTGCTGCCATATGCCAGATAAAATTTAATAATGAAAAAAAGTAGAGCCCAGTTTGAGGCTGTAGAGTAAGACCCTGTCTCAAAAAAAAAAAAAAGAAAGAAAGAAAAGAAAAAAAATGTCATGCCATGCAGTAGCACATGCTACAATAAAATTAAAATAAGGAATTGTGAGAGAAGCAAACATGGTGTTCACTTTAGATTGGGTGATCAGGAACAGCCTCTCTTAAGAGACTAGGATAGCCAAAGGAGCAATTTATAAGTTCTGGGGAAAGAATATTTCAGGCAGGAAAAAGAGCTAATGAAAAGTACCTGGAGGACCTTAGGAAGAATGCTCTAAATAAGGTAAGCGGTACAGTGGCTTATGCCTGTAATCAGCACTTTGGGAGGCTGAGGTGGGTAGATTGCTTGAGTCCAGGAGTTCAAGGCCAGCCTGGGCAACATGGTGAAACCTGTCTCTACAAAAAAAAAATACCAAAATTACCTGGGCATGGTAGGGCACACCTGTAGTCCCAGATACAAAGAAGACTGAGGTGAGAGGACTGATTGAGCCCAGAAGGTCTAGGCTGCAGTGAGCTCTGATCATGCCACTGCACTGTAGCCTGGACAACAGAGCAAGACTCGGTCTCAAAAAAACAAGTGTTTGGGTAATAAAATTCAACAACAGATTGTATAACCTAGACACAGTATAACCTAACCTAGACAAAGTGATTTAAGGGGATATATTTTCATACGACTGGTGTTTTAAAATCGCATGTACTAATAAACCAGGTGCAGTGGCTCACACCTATAATACCAACACTTTGGGAGGCCGAGGCAGGTGGATAACTTGAGGTCAGGAGTTTGAGACCAGCCTGGCCAACATAGTGAAACCCCATCTCTACCAAACAAATACAAAAATTAGCCGGGTATGGTGCCGCATCCCTGTGGTCCCGGCTACTTGGGAGTCTGAGGCACAAAAATCACTTGAACCCGGCAGGCAGAGGTTGCAGCAAGCCAAGATCAAGTCACTGCACTCCAGCCTGGGTGACAGAGTGAAATCCTGTCTCAAAACAACAACAACACACACACACACACACACACACACACACACACACCCCATTTGGCCAAATTCTTAGATTATACTGGAATCTTTTACCATAGGGCTAAGATCACTAAGACAATTCTATAGCTGAAAGGGACTTTAGACATTAACTTAAAGATTAGAAAAATGAGGCTTAGAAAAGTAAAACAACTTTCTCAAAGTTACTTAGTGAAGAAAAGGCAGGGCAGGAACCTGAACCAGACTTTTGATTCCACTGACTTTCCCAATGCTCAAACTAAGGCTCCAACCTAGGTTCACTGTACCCCAACCGTGTGCCTCCCCTTAAAGACAACAATTATCACTGGCTCACTCTGCACTGACTGGCCTCACAAGAGATCTTATCAAGTGAAGCTGGTTTAGTTTCCAGCCTGAGCAGGAGCTATCCAGCCCAATGTGTGCATTTAACATACTGTATTGTTGACAGTAAATACTAGAACTCGGGCTCAAAGAGCTGGATCAAATTTAAGTCAAATTGTAGTACTGCATATAGCAGTCAGTTTATAGTAAAAGGTAAACTGGTTGATAAAATTGAATTTACCATGTTAATTTTAATTTCCTCCTAGGGAATGGTATCTCTGTGAAATGGGCAATTTTAATTCCTGAAACTCTAAGGGCAGCTTGCACACTGACAGCTAATATGTAGCAGAACCTGGATTTAATGGACTTCTGTTGACTCCAAATTTTTCATGCGTCTTCTACTTCCACTCTAAAATTGTTTTGCTTTCTGTGGTACCAAAGTGGGTGAAAGTAACATCACAGAATAATACTGTTGTTGAAAGGAACTGTCTGTGAAACAAGCTGCCAATGTTTTCTAGCCTATGGCTTTTAAAACTTGCTCCTTTGTTTCAGAGCTGCTCAGTCCTACTCAAACAGTTTGACCTTTAGCTAGGATGATGACTTTTCTTCCAGCTGAATCAAAGACATCTGACTACATGACAAAAAGCCTGCTGCCAGCCATGGGGAAAATATTTAGAGATTATTTCCTGCACCTGATTTTCCTCTCAATCAGCAAGCTGAGAGCTTTCAAATAGTAGTTTTCACCTTCATGAGCCTATTATTTTTCTTACCTAAGCCCAAAGACGTCTATTTTTGCCTCTTAGTCTCAAAGTAAAAGTTCCAAAGTAAAAACAAAAAGTTATTCTGACTGCTGTCAAAGATAAACACAGCCAGACATTCGTTAAAGCAATGAAAACAGATTTTATTCAGTAAACCACTGATAGCAGGGGAAAGAGCTGAGCTCAATTCTGGTTTGTGCAGAGTGACTGGCCATTTTAAAAAGAAAGTAAGGGAGTGGCAGGAAGCCAGCCACAAGTAGAGTCAGAGAAGAGAAACTTAAAGGGTTGGTCAGTGTAAACGCAATGCTACCTGGCAATTAGTAAGTTATTGTTCTATCCTCCCACACAGACTGGGAGACAAAGGCCCTATCCCTCCTGATGATTACATTTCAAAGAAATGGCTCTCTAAGATACTTGAAGGGACACCAGAGTTGGAAGAGATAACATATTCACAATTGTAAGCCTGTTTTTCGTAAATGCTCTAAAAAAGGAAGGACAGGTCAATTAGGTGTTGACTAGAACAAACAGTAAATTCTCCTCCTAGCTTTGAGCTTTTTCAGGCAGGCATTTTAATGGGGGGGGGCTGGGGTCACCCTTGGGGCAGGTTTTACGCTGCTAGAAGATAAACTAGCGTCGGTGTCTCTCAGTGCGTAAGTTTTGACTGAGTCATCACGTGCTAGGAGTTCTGCAGTTGCCACTAACCCGGGATAGTCCCCATCTTTATTTCCCCACAACTAGCTTGCTGCCTACTTAGTGCGAACAGCTATTAGAAAGTCAATAGGTGAAGGTAAAAAATTTAAAAACTTCATTTCATTAAGAGCTATGTAGTCACCCTGGCAGAGACAAATCTGGGCTTCAGGTTTGAATGTGACTTTTATTTTAAGCGTCCTCAGATTCTCTCAGAGAAAGGACAGAAAGAGGAAAAACAACAAAACACCCCCACAGAGATAGGACCACAATAAAAGGATCTAAATGTCAGGGTTAAAACTGATTTTCTGCTTCCTCACTGTAAAGAAAAAGGGAAAGCCAGGCGCGGTGGCTCCCACCTATAATCCCAGCCGCCAGGGAGGCTGAGGCGGGAGGATCGCTTGAGCCCAGGAGTTTGAGGCTGCAGTGAGCTATGATCACACCACTGCACTTCAGCCTGGGAGACAGAGCGAGACCCTGTCTCTTATTAAAACAAACAACAAACTAAATAAATAAAAATAAACAGGATGAGGAGGAGAAAGGGAGCGAGTTGTTGGGCACATTTGAGAAAACGTCAAAATTTTCTTTACAAACTAGCCAAAAACCTACAGTGATATGCCACTTTCCTGACAAAGAATTCAGGCCCCAAAAGAAAGGTAGCCCACAACTGAGCGTATTCCCAAGCATGAGTTCTTTCAAGAAATATTTTTTTGTGGACCTTCTATGGATTGTTAAGACATTCTTTCCTCCTGGAGAGAGCCCACAGTCTAGTGGGAGAGAAAGACACATAAACAAATATCTACTTTACAATGTGATGACTGGTATTAACACAGGTCTTAACAAGGTGCAGCGGTGAGAGAGCAAAAGCTGTGCCTCAGAAACACAGGGATATCCTCTCACAGCCGGTGACATTTGGTGGGATCTTGGAAAATGAGTAAGGGGATCCAAGATCGAATCCGAGGACTATGCTAAGGCGATTCGATTCCATCCCCACTTTGGCTTAGGGACCTCTTCTATATCCTCAGTAAACGTCCCTTCTCAGAGCATTTATTAAAACCTCCTTGGCCTTTCCAGACGAATGTCTGGCTACATAAACTGTGAGCTCTGTGAGGGCAGAGGTGGCGACGGTTCAGTTATATAAATCCAGTGCCCGGCTCAGTAAGGGTATGTGGAATGGATGAATCCATTAATGAATAAAGACAGCGGGCCTCCACAAAAGCCCGCCGGCCGGGCGCCTTTTCCTACCCGCTGGGATCGCTTCATCCAGCCTGATTCACTCAGGAGGAATGTGCGAAGAGGCCGTCACGAAGCCTCGCCCTAGACTCAAGAAAAGAGCCTGGGAAAAGCTCAAGAAACAAGGACCCTCACTGTGGCCCAGGGTCTGAAGGGATCGCGCTCTGGGTTCCTAACCCTGTGAAAGCGGCTCATCCCATTCCTTTACTTACATTCTCGAGGGAAAGATTTCAATTCGGTCTTTGCCCGACATTCTGACGATAACTGTTCGGCTCGGGTCCCCGGCCGGGCAACCGAGGCTACAACAGCTCCAGAACTGGCCTCCACAGTGACTTCCTCTACAGGAGTCAGCTGGTTGTGTCACTTGACCCCCTCTCGTTGCTAAGAAGCAGCAGGGACACCCATTTTCACTTCCGCTTCCGGTTGTCAAGAGGAGGAAGGGGGAGGACAGAACAGAGGCGTTGCCCGGATGTCTAGGCGCGCGCACCGCGGAACCATCCCTCAATTCCGGTTCGCCTCCCAACCCCTCCCCATCCAGCTTCCCTGAGGCTGCGCAATACGCGGCACGTGCCAGGCCAAAGACTAGGAGCGAAGCGTGCACGCCTTGTTTCTCTCCACCTGTCGTCTCTGGTCACAGCGCCATCTCATGGTTAGCTGAAACTGTGAACGAGGATACATTCTTCAGGGGCAAGGAATCAGAGTCCTATGTCTTTCTCGCGCCTTGAATGTTACTTAGCTAAAGCTAAGATAGCGAGAAACCGTACTTTTCGGGTCCTTCCATGATCTACATTCGTCCTTGTTCTCGGAGGACCCAGACTCTATGGTTAATGATGAAGAGGGGTCTCTATTCGTTCAACGCTTGCGCAATACGAGGAGGTTCCGCATGCGCAGTCGGGTGACCGAAGCGCACGCTGAGGAGGATCGGCGGCCGGTGAGGGAGAAGCAAGTCTGGTCTCTCTAATTAAAGAAGGCGGCTCTGGTCTCCACTGCGGGAATCACACACATACCTCAGGTGACTAATCCCAAGCTCGGTTTCTCCAAGAACTCACTTTGGTTTGTGTCCAGTGACATGGGTGTTCGAGAGCGGGTAGGCCCCGGGCTAACACCTCCCTTTCCCGTCCCTGCGCGGGAAGTGGCTGGACAGCACCGCCGCCACCCGCGCTGTCGTGGGCCTCGTCGCCGGCTCCGTGTAGGTCATCCTGTGTTCCAGAGGCGTCGTTGTTCCAGCAGAGGAATCTCGTAAAGGAAAGTGGGCCGAGTGGATTGTACAGCCTCTACAATATGCCGAAAGTGAGAATGCCTTGACGATGGGGCGGCCTCGGGAGAACGTCGTGACACCCTAACTCTTACCCCCAGCTCAGGACGCTGAGCAGTTTGCTTTTTCCAGGTCTGAGAATTCCATCTTTTCTTCCGCCCCAACAGTTCTACCGAAATTTTCCCCTGCTTCTCAGTGGAAACCAAACTGGACTCTTACCTGAGAAACGTGTGGGACGGGCACCGTGTTGGAAAGAGCGGGGTCCGAGTAGTTTTTCATCTGATAATTGAATGAGTCACCCTTTGAATCAAAACTAAATGAGACTTGAGTTTATTACTGTTACTATCAGTTTGTTTTATGTTGGCGACAATGAGAATAGAACTGTGTTAAGCATATGTTAGGTTAACTATGCTAAGCATAACAGAAAACCTAAGATAAGGAAATATTTTCGGGTTAAATACACAGTCATCCCTGGGTCTCTTTATCCACAAAATTTAGGCTTTTAAAATTTTTATTAAGCAAAAGACATGGTTTTTTCGAGAAAAAGTATAGCAGAGAAGTGTATATTTTCTCTCAATTGAGTTGTTATTCAAGGAAAAATCTCTGGGTCAGTAGTTTGGGGATGACTTATACCGAACTTTACTACCTATTCTCAGTTCATCTGGTGCCAAAAGATGTAGTTGTCTCATGCACAGTAATGTTTATAGAGATTTGGTGATAACTTTCTTTTTCAACTATAATGATGAAATAAAAGCTTTACTTATGTAGCACTCCTATACCAAGAACTACCATTCAGAGAGCATTCCTAATACGTGTTAGATCCAAATTAGAATTATCACGAGAGTTGTCCCCATCACATGTATTTTGGAAAGGAATGTGAACTTCTATATCCATTATAGCAGTTTGACCATGCACTGTTTTGAGAAAGAAGTTCTACCTACCATTTGTCCTGCAAAATAACTGACTAGCCAGGGTATTTGAAATTAGCCCGGAGTTTGGTTGATATATTTTGAAAGGTGGCTGATACTTTTACATCAGAACACATAAGAGTATTATAATGTGTTGTGATATTGAGGTTCTGTGGGTTAAAGACATTCTGGATTTGATGTCGATTATCTTAAGAAAGTATTATAATTTAGTATTTCTGTTCCTCCTTTTTCTGTTCATTGCTTCACTGTGCTCCTTTCATAGTACTTCATATTGTAATCATTTGCTTGCTAGTTTGTTTCCCACTCTATACTTAACTTAGGTAAGAGTCTTTTTTTTTTTTTTTTTTTTTTTTTTTTGAGACAGAGCCTCTGTTGCCCAGGCTGGAGTGTAGTGGCACAATCTCAGCTCACTGTAGCCTCTGCCCCTGGGTTCAAGGGATTCTCCTGCCTCAGCCACCATAGTAGTGGGATTACAGGTGCCTACCACCACACCCAGCTAATTTTTGTATTTTTAGTAGAAATGGGGTTTCACCATGTTGACCAGGCTGGCCTCAAACTCCTGGCCTCAGGTGATCCACCCACCTCAGCCTCCCAAAGTGCTGGGATTACAGGTGTGAGCCACCGCGCCTGGCCTGGTAAGAGTCTTTCTTGTTGACACTTCTTGAGGACCAAATAAAATAAGTCAGAATGCTGTGAAAAAGATAAAGAGATGAAGTCACCTAGTGTGACTTCGATATTGCCAAATGTTTTTTTAAGTAAAAAAAAATAATAATAAGATATTAGCATTTCATTAGGCAGTATGTTGAAAGTTTATCAACCAATATGCAGGTTTTTGTGGTATGGATTTTTTTTGTACTTAACTTCCTGTCTTTGCTATGAATAACTTAACCATCAACAGTATTCCTTTACTTACCCTTTATGTTGCAAAGAGACTTGTGCCTCCTGAAGAAATAGTATTCATAGTCATATCCCTTCAGGATTCTTTTACACGATTGCCCGTGTTTTTTAACCATCAGATTAAGCCTTGCTTCCCCTAAAAGCGTCACCTTTACTATTTGGAGAAACTTGGTAAGTAAATATGGTTTTCACCTGTTAAATGTCTTAAAACTGTTCCGTACATTTCTGTAACATAGTTTATTTTGATGCCCAATTTGAAACTTTTTAGCTCTCAAATTTGAGAACTTTACATGCACATATTCAACAACAGTTTCCCCACCACCCCCACCCCCACCCCTGAAAAGCCCTGTTTAAAAATGAAACAACCAGTCAGCTGTTTCTTGGTGGGTAGTTCTGGCCATTGAATGTCTACTTATCTTTGTTTGCTAAATCCCTATTTTGTAGGGATTTTGTATTCCCTACAAAGAAATACATCTCTGCTACTGTCATTAATATGCTGCTTTTTGTTGTTAAACCAATGAGTACTAATAGTTTGCACTTATTGGTGTCACATACTCTAGCACTGAATATATATATATATATATTCATGTTGCTTTTAAAGTAAAATGTTTCTAATTGTAATATGTTTATGAATAGTTTTGAGAGAATATAGTCTTACTGATAAAGAGGACAGACTCTGGGCCGGGTGCGGTAGCTCAAGCCTGTAATCCCAGCACTTTGGGGGGCCGAGACAGGCAGATCACGAGGTCAGGAGGTCGAGACCATCCTGGCTAACACGGCGAAACCCCATCTCTGCTAAAAATACAAAAAACTAGCCGGGCGTGGTGGCGGGCGCCTGTAGTCCCAGCTACTCCAGAGGCTGAGGCAAGAGAATGGCATAAACTCGAGAGGCAGAGCTTTCAGTGAGCTGAGATCAGGCCACTGCACTCCAGCCTGGGCGACAGAGCCAGACTCTGTCTCAAAAAAAAAAAAGAGGACAGACTCTGGATCCAAACTTCCTGGATTCAAATCCTGACTCATCACTTGTTAGCAGTATGTGAAAGAACAAGTAACTTAACCTGTGCTTCACTTTTTTAATCTAGAAAATGGGGAGAACTAGGGAGAAAGTTGTACCACAAGGAGATAGGCAGTGACCAGATCATATAGGATTCTGTAGGTAGTGAAAACATATATAAGTCAGTAGCAAGCCACTGGGAAGATATAGGCAGGTGCCAATTAATAAGTTATTAAATTAATTTTCACAAAGTTTTCTTAGGCCTTTAAGTTATGTTACTACTTAAGTTTTGAGCAGTGACAACAGTGAAGGTTAACAGAAAAACATGGAAATCATCAGCCATGATTAGTTTGAGAGCTTCCTTTTTAAATGTGCTTCTACCCAGATTATGATTTCAGGCTTGTGGATCATAGAAGGAGTAGTGCTGAAAGTAGGTTGGGTGGATCAAAGGGAATAATTGTAAATATCTTTAATGCTTGGAGGTTAAGAGAAACTTTAACTTTGTAGTAATGGAGATTAAAGCTATTCTCAAGATTAAGTATACCTATTCAATAAAAGAAAGGAATATTTGGGAGTATTGGGGATAAGAGAAGCTAGACATTGTGAATTCAAGGAAAAAAAATTATGAGAGGAGGAGGATGAATTTTAGTTTATTTTGTGATTAAGATTTTTTTAGTTTTTGTTGCTTTGACATGTGACGCTAATTTGGGCTATAATAAATGACAATATATCATATGGTATATTGGTTAAGATTTAGGTAGAAAATCTTTCCTTTATATAGTGAGTGGTAGCATATACAATGTTTGCTAACTTCAGCGAAGAGTAGCTTTAGTTTTCTGATTAGTTATAATAGTGATGCTTCCCATCATTTGATATGCCTTAAAGTAGTATTTTACTCTTGAGGTATTCCTTTAATCCTTAGGTCTTGGAGTACTTTATAGATGGTCATTATTTTTTATGATTCCTCTGAAACTAATGGCAGAGAATCACCCAAGCATTACAAAAATGTTGAGCAAAGTAAAAATTAAAGCTTGGTTCCTGAACATTATCTGTTTTCTGGTACCACTTAAGTTTCAAAGGATGAGAAGACTAAGACTAATAACTATTTTTTTCTTCATCTTTTCTTTCAGTGGCAAGATGTGGAAATTGATTTTTTTTTTTCATCTTAACTGAACACTTATTTAATTCTTTTGTTTAAATTGCAGAATGCCGGGTCTAAGTTGTAGATTTTATCAACACAAATTTCCTGAGGTGGAAGATGTAGTGATGGTGAATGTCAGATCCATTGCTGAAATGGGGGCTTATGTCAGCTTGCTGGAATACAACAACATTGAAGGCATGATTCTTCTTAGTGAATTATCCAGAAGGCGTATCCGTTCTATCAACAAACTCATCCGAATTGGCAGGAATGAGTGTGTGGTTGTCATTAGGGTGGACAAAGAAAAAGGTAAGTGAGAAAAATATCTGTAATATAAATTTCAGATTTAAAATGGTTTAAAAATACATTTTTTGTAAATTGCATGCGGCAGCTTAGGGAAAAAAAGCTCTTTTTATACTTAAACCTCTTACATACAAAGTGGTTAGAAAACCATGTCAATTAGCTATTTAAACAAGATCTCTTAAGTTAATAGTAGTTTAATTAGTACATCCTAGGATTTTATGGATCAAATAACTTGAATTTTATTTCTAGTGTTTATCAGGATTTTGGTAATTGAATCATGGTAACCAAACTTAAAGAGAGTACTAGTTCATTTACATTGGTAGATCTGAATATGTTGGATGCCTTTTTTCTTGATTTAAAGCTAAAGTAGTAATGAGATCTTTGGGTAAGCATGAAAATGGGGCAGATGGGTTTTACGAATCTTTTATATAAGCCTTGAAGAAGCAATATACTATGTGTGTATATACACACCTGAAATCTAACATTGTATATCTTGCTGGTAATTAGAATGTTTGTGTCTACCAAATCCTGTGGTATCTTTCAGACAGTTTTGAATGACTATCCATTTTTTACTTATTGGATTCCTTTTCTGGACCCCATGTAAATCATCACCTTTGTGAATACTGTTTTTTAAAACATGGTATACAATACCATTAAGTAGGTTTTAATTTCAGCCATCTTACTTTAATTTGTTAGGTGTTAGTTTTAGGTCATTAGTTACTATCATGTCTGAAGGGCTGCATATCAGTCACCTTGATTCAACTTATCCTTCTGAATCTCCTCAGCTGTCTAGTTTACTGATACTTTCTCACTTCTGCAAGTGATTAATTTTATACATACTGACTTTTTTTTTATTATTATTATAGCCTTAGATGATACATAAATTTTGAGGTTATCTTATGCCTTAGGTAGTGACTGCTACTTAGCACATGGATTGTTTTAAATGTTTTGCTGTGACTTAGCTATAGCCCCACCCAAAATTATTAAACTACTTTGAGACTATTTGTTAAACTTACGTAAGTCTTCACATCACTGTCCTAGTAGTACGTAAAATAGTGTCTAATCTTGTACTTCGGTTTGTTTTTTTTTTTTTTTTTTTAAGAGTTGGGATCTTGCTCTGTCACCCAGGCTGCAGTGTAGTAGTGTGATCATAGGTCGCTGCAGCCTTGAACTCTGTTCAAGTGTTCCTCAAGCAGTCCTCCCAAGTAGCTGGAACTATATGCATGTGCCACCCTGCCCAGCTAACTTTCTTTGTAGAGATGGGGTCTCACTATGTTGCCCAGGCTAGTCTTGAACTGGGCTCAAGTGATCCTCCTGCCTTGGCCTCACAAAGTACTGGGATTACAGGTGTGAGCCACTGTGCTCAGCCTTCTTTTTCTATTGTATGAAATATATACAAAAGGAGGAATCAAATATGTTTTTAGTTGCAATCAGAAAAAATATGGAATGGCATACTTGCTTACATACAGTAGATACATGTAAAGCTATTTCCATAGCATTTGTTTGTATGGCATTAACTAAAACCAGGAAATGACCAAAATGGGGACTGGTTAAATAAATCAGTACAAATGCATGCAATGCAATTTTATGCAGAATGAGATCTGAATATTCTGTATTCTGATATGGAAGATCTCTACGATAGGATGAGGAAAAGAGCAAAGTGCAAAACAGCCTGTAGAGATAATTCATTTTACTAGAGAATTAGGTCCTGCTAGATAAGCCTTTCGACGTAAATGCCATAAACCCTGAACAAGTATGAAAAATAACTACCTAAAGACAATGAGAAGCAGCCAAAAGCAGGCCAAACTTGAAAATTTGAAGGTGAGTCGACACTTACAAGAAAGGATATGTTGGCCGGGCATGGTGGGTCAAGCCTGTAATCCCAGCACTTTGGGAGGCTGAGACGGGCGGATCACAAGGTCAGGAGATCGAGACCATCCTGGCTAACATGGTGAAACCCCATCTCTACTAAAAATACAAAAAAACTAGCCGGGCACGGTGGCGGGCACCTGTAGTCCCAGCTACTCGGGAGACTGAGGCAGGAGAATGGCGTAAACCCGGGAGGCGGAACTTGCAGTGAGCTGAGATCCGGCCTGGGTGACAGAGCGAGACTCCGTCTCAACAAAAAAAAAAAAAAAAAAAAAAAAAGGATATGTTTTCTGTTTTACACCTTTTTTTTTTTTTTTACCTAAGTACATGTTGAAGACAGCTTCAAGCTGGGCATTTAAGGTTCTGGCGGAAAACTTATGGTCTTATTGGCTTTAGAACTGGAGGCGAGAGTTCTTGACAACCATAGTAGATGGAAACTGGTGGTGGTAGTGGTGAGGGTTAGAGAAAGGAGGCAGGCACAAGGGGAGAGCCCCTAAGTCTGTGTATAAATTCTTCCCAAATCTCTGGTTTATCCCCGAACTACTGAAACACAGGGTGAACTCCAAGTAGCCTAATAAGGAAAAAATCTGAACAGATTTCAGTTGCTTACCATCTGGGGAGACAGAGCGTATAGTTTTGAGTTCAGATGCTGACTGCCTGCTAAAACAAGAAATCTGTAATCTTTTTTTTTGAGGGGGGAGAAGGGTAGGGGATGGAGTCCCGCTGTGTCGCCAGACTAGAGTGCGGTGGTGCGATCTCAGCTCACCGCAACCTCCGACTCCCTGGTTCAAGTGATTCTCCTGCCTTAGCCTCCGGAGTTGCTGGGACTACAGGCACGCACCAGCATGCGCAGTTAATTTTTGTGTTTTTGGTAGAGATGGGGTTTTACCATGTTGGCCAGGATGGTCTTGATCTCCTGACCTTGTGTTCTACCCGCCTTGACCTCCCAAAGTGCTGAGATTACAGGCATGAGCCACCACCCCCAGCCAAAATCTATTCTGAAGAGGAACATACAGGAATCCAGAGTCTTTGCCACAGGTCCAGGATACAATGCAAAATTGCTAACTATACAAATAAATAGGAAAATATGACTCATACAGAAGAGAAAAGCAACCAATGGAGACTGACCCAGAGATGATCCAGGGGTTGGGACTACTAGACATGGATTTTAAGGCAGACATTATAAACTGCTCAAGCACATTAAGGAAATATGCTTGTAAAGAATGAACAAGGCCGGGCACGGTGACTCACGCCTGTAATCCCAGCACTGTGGGAGGCCGAGGCGGGCGGATCACGAGGTCAGGAGATCAAGACCATCCTGGCTAACACGGTGAAACCCCGTCTCTACTAAAAATACAAAAAATTAGCCAGGCGTGGTGGCGGGCGCCTGTAGTCCCGGCTACTTGGAGAATGGCAGGAACCCGGGAGGCAGAGCTTACAGTGAGCCGAGATCGCGCCACTGCACTCCAGCCTGGGCAACAGAGTGAGACTCTGTCTCAAAAAAAAAAAAGAATGTACAAAGTGAAATCTCAGAGAAAATAGAAACTTCCACAAAGAACCACAGCCAAGTGTCACTTAATGACACGAATACATTCTGAGATAACGTATCATTAGGCAATTTTGTTGTGCAAGCTTCATAGAGTCTACTTAAACCTAGATGTGTAGCCTACTACACACCTAGGCTATATGGTATAGCCTATTGCTCCTAAGCTACAAACCTGTACAGCCTGTTACTGTATTGAATACTGTTGGCAGTTGACACAAAGGTATTTGTGTATCTAAACACAGAATACACAAAGGGTACAGTAAAAATACAGTAGAAAAGATAAAAAAATAGTATACCTATATAGGGCACATACCGTGAATGGAGTTTGCAGGACTGAAAGTTGCTCTGGGTGAGTTAGTGAGTAAATGATGAGCAGGTGTGAAGGCCTAGGACATTACACTACTGTAGACTTTAGAAACACTGTACACTTAAGTAACACTAAATTGATAAAAACTAAATGCGCTACATCACTAGGCAATAGGAATTTTGCAACTCCATTATAGTCTTATGGAACCACCATTGTATATGCAGTTCAGTGTTCAACAAAATATCATTATGCAGTGCATGACTAAATATAAATTCTAAGGCCAGGCACGGTGGCTCATGCCTGTAATCCCAGCACAGTACTTTGGGAGGCCAAGGCGGGTGGATCACTTGAGATCAAGAGTTCAAGACCAGCCTGGCCGACATGGCAAAAACCCATCTCTATCAAAAGTAAAAAAATTAGCCGGGTGTGGTGGCATGCACCTGTAATCCCAGCTACCTGGGAGTGTGAGGCAGGAGAATCGCTTGAACCTGGGAGGCGGAGGTTGCAGTGAGCTGAGATTGCGCCATTGCACTCCCGCTTGGGCAACAGAGTGAGACTCTTGTCTCAAAAAAAAAAGAAAAAAAAAAAAAAAATATATATATATATATATGTATGTATGTATATGAAATGAAAGAGGAGAGAGAACAGAAAATGGATTTGAAGAAATAATGGCTAACAGTTTCCCTTATTTGTTGGAGAAAAACACAAATTTACAAATTGAAGAAGCTCCACAACTCTTAAGCATGATAAATGTTATTAAGATCATATCCAGGTACATCAGACTATTAATACTGAAGAAAAAAGGTGAAGAGAAAAATCTTGAAAGTAGCCCAAGGAAAAGGATGTATTACCTACAGAAGAACAGTGATACAAATTACTATGGTGTTCATACTAGAAATAATGGAGGCCAGAGCATTGAATGATATCTTTAAAGCACTCAAACCAGAATTGTGTATCTAAAGGTAATACTCAACAATGAAAGTCAAAATGAAGACATTTTTAGGTAAATAGAAACTAAAGACGTGGCATGGTGGCTTGCACCTGTAATCCCAGCACTTTGGGAGGCCAAGGTGGGCATGTTACCTGAACTCACAAATTCAAGACCAGCTGGGGCAGTGGCAAAACCTCGTCTCTACAGGAAATACAAAAATTAGCTGGGCATGGTGGTGCGCCCTGTAGTCCCAGCTACTCGGGATGCTGAGGTAGGAGGATGGTTTGAGTCCAGGAGGCGGAGGCTGCAGTGAGCCAAGATCATGCCACTGCACTCCAGCCTGGGCGATAGAA